ATAACAAGTGCCTAGCATAGACTAGCATACATTATTGTGCAGGAACCCACGGAGCTAGGGCCTTCAGTAAGTTCCGCCTAATACAGATACAGGTGTAGTTCTCTGGACACAAGGATGTTCTATAAAAAGTATCAGAAGAAAAGTTCGAATCTTATTGAGCCTCATGTCCGCCAAATACTGACTTGAATTTCAAAATCTCTCAACATAACTTTTAAAATAAGCATCCCAGTTGTGAAATCGACAGCAAGGAAAATGAAAAGTATATAAAAAAAACTTATTTAAAACGTCGTACTAACACCACCTTGCTAAGGTGGCAGATCTTTCAGGCGGACGTCGTGCTACCAAAGGCTGCGCCTAACCCTTGACCACAAGCGTCCTCGCCTGCCTCACTTTCAAATGGGAGCCCCTCCACCTCCACGATCCCCTCGAGCACAACATGTGATTTAAGGAATTTCTCAGACTTGTAAATCTGCAAAAATTGATCTGAAACTAAGACTGAAGAATGATTCACAATATGTTGTAGCTTTGGTCTTAAGGAAGGCTAATTTTGTTAGCTGAAATCAGTTGGCCTCAAATAAATCAGCCCTTTGCCGTAATGCCAACTTTCAAACTATATTCTTGCGTGAATTTGAAATGAAAAAAAGGCAAAATTCTCGCCTTGTTTTAAAAAACGCAATAAAGCTAAATGTCCTAAATTACGGATCAGTTGCAGATCGTTGCATGAGGCGAAGGGATCTGCTCTGAAAGATGAAATTTCAAGCTGAAGAATCATGGTACCAAAGAAACACTGCTCGCGGCAAGATACCGTGATGCCCGTGCAAGGACATGTGAGCTGTGCATGTTCTTTATACGACCACAGTTTGATTTCTTTCGTACATGAAAAGTTTCATTTAAGGTAGGCAGCTCCCACCCTTGGCACTAGCTGGGCACGAATGTGAACACACCCATTTTTCAAGTACCCACGCTAGAATTCGTGCACGGTGCCGGTGTCCGATCCGAGTACAAGGTCGAGACCTTGTACTCGGGCACAAAAGTGGGCACCGAGTCTCTTTGTGCACACAATTTTTGTAAGATCCGGGCAGTCTACTGCTTTGTTCTCCGTGCTAAGCTCATGTTTCAAAATGGCGCCTGACAGGGCGAAATGGAGTAACGATGTACACAGTCACATATCGGGTACTCAAAGTGTGACCACAACACCATTTTGTTCCGGTACCCAGGCATTTGTTCCCGAGCACCAAGTGTGGACAGCCCTTTAGACTAAGGGCGCATTCCAAACGTCACAACCAACCGACCGAACGGGTCATTTCGAAAAAGAAATAGCCTTTTTAAAATTTGAACTCATGTAAATTATTTAAGAATTTACCGATTTGGCTGGACAATTCTGAATACCGAATGGTCTGGCCAGCCGGTTCTGATAAATGTGTTCAAGAAAAAAAGGGGAAAGGGAAGGTAAAAAAATGTTTTTCTTGTCTTCACTATCCAGTGGATAAGTAAGTATTAGAGAACTGAAAACAATTTTTTCAATACGAGGTTCGACGAAGGAGAAAAAGATAAACGCTGGTTAAATTTTTTGTGGTATGTTAAAGAGAGGAAAAGCGTTACCTCACGTTGTCATGGTAAATTAATCTGGATCTCAACAAACCGTCGTCCTGCAAATATGGCAGAAAAAAAAACACAAAAATATACATGTATGACTTTCCAGTGCATGATTGTACCGAACTAAAGCGGTAGCCCAGGCGGTAGCCCACACTTTTATTTCATCGGTTGTCTTTACACTAGGCTGTTAAGTTAACCAAAAATTCGTGTGTGAAGGCCTAAGTAAAATCTCAAGTAACTTTACTTCGCATCTCATCAAAGTCGGAAAGTTGAAACGATTCAAGAAAGTTTCAAGCGACTTGAAAACCACCCTTAAAACCGACTTAGCTGACTTGCGGTTTCTTGGCGTGATTCTGTGGGTGCTGAGAGGTCTAGGTCAGGGCTTAAATCAGAGTGCGCGGATATTTTTCATCAGAGTTTTCTCTGGTTGGTACGCCATACTGACGAGCCCCAAAGAGGGCGAAACAGCTGTCTATGGCTACAATCCCGCTCTGTTTTGAGTTCATTCGGTGTCGTGTTGATGTCTTGTAGAGTTAATTTTTACGTAGTACGATCAGCCTTGCAGTATTCTGCTTGCAGAATTTAATATGGCTGCTTTTACTGCACTTTTCAAAAACACGCGAACTCTGAAGTTCAAAGGCCAGCTCACGTTTGCTTATTTCGCTGCCGTCAATCATCTTAGTGGACCTCTTAGGAAACAGTGATCTGTGATTGGTGGATTTCGATTAGCCTGTATACAGACCCCCCTCCCCTCAGGAAAAATCTGAGAAGGGACCCCTTCTCCGATTTTTCCTGAGGGGAGGGGGGTCTGTACACAGGCTAGATTTCGATCCGTTTTGTGTGTTTCCGTGTTTCATCGTTCGTTTTTAGAGTTCACGTGTTTTGACAGAGAAAGTCACATCCGAAATCCCCGAGGACGACTTGGAACGAGGCTGCGCGTGTTTGTGAAAAGCGCAGCAAA